ACATTAAGATATATCATACCCTATAGAAAGTTAATTAAATCTCCATATACTATACTGTACATTAAGATATATCATACCCTATAGAAAGTTAATTAAATCTCCATATACTATACTGTACATTGAGATATATCATACCCTATAGAGAGTTAATCAAATCTCCATATATTATAGTGCACATTAAGATATATCATACCCTGAAGAGTTAATCAAATCTCCATATACTATACTGCACATTAAGATATATCATACCCTATAGAAAGTTAATTAAAGTCTCCATATACTATACTGTACATTAAGATATATCATACCCTATAGAAAGTTAATTAAATCTCCATATATTACGCTGCACATAACATATATCATGAGCGCGCGCACTCTGTTATCGTAAATCATTAATACACTGCTCTGATTGATTTATATACCATATAAAAATCAAACGGTATAACACTTTGATGGTGTATTTAACAATAACACTGCCCTGGCTGATATTCTGCAATTTTATGTTATATATATAATAAAATCAAACACTTATAACATTTTGAAAGTATATTTTAACAATAATACTGCTGTTATTAGTATTCTGTAATTTTGATTGTATTTTGTTTGTTTGTTGTCAAGCGCAAAATTACACAGTGGACTATCTGTACTGTGCCCGCCGCGAGTATTTAAACCTAATTTTTTAGCGTTATAAGTCCTCAGAATTGCCACTGGAGGGTTTTAGTTACATAATGAATTAAGCATATATAATATATTTACATTCCAAATACACTTTAATAAACATAGGTATTGAAGCTTTAGTAATAAATGATTTGGTTTGTTAAACACAAAGCTTCACAATGGGTTATCTGTGCTCTGTCCACAAAGTGTATCAAAACCCGAGTTTTAACCAAGACTAAGCTCTTATACACTGAAAGTGTTTAAGTTAATTCGTACATCCACAATAGGTTCAACATCAGCCATTTAACACAAACCCAAGGATAAGACTTTGTAACACACTTTACCTTAATTAAATCAGCCACGAGTGAAGCCACAAACATGTTGTCTAAATCAAGATCTTCGTTTTTCAGGACATCCTTTGGTAAGGACAAGAAAAAAAAGTAATAAGCGTGAAACGGTGGAATTTACAATCGTAGATATAATAAAATGACGATAAACAAACAAAAAAATTATCTTATCATAAAAAGTTTAACTACTACATGTATATGCACGCGCCAAAACTTGACGTTGTGTCCAACTCAAAATTCAATAGGGCTCCATTTTATAGATAAAAATTGGTAAGATGACTTGACGTAGTGTCCAACTCAAAATTCAATAGGGCTCCATTTTATAAATAAAAATAGGTAAGATGACTTGACGTAGTGTCCAACTCAAAATTCAATAGGGCTCCATTTTATAAATAAAAATAGGTAAGATGAAAGATGCTTGGATATTTTTGCTTTAAGCGTATCTTCGTTTTCATTTCGAAATACGACTAATGCAAACAGAGCCTTATGAAAGCTTGATCCAAGCCTATTACATTTTGAAAATAAAGTCTCAACCATTAAAAGATCTAAAACTCTTCCTTCAGACTTTCTAAATCATTTTTCGTAATAAAACTAATAACAGTAATCCGCATTTTTCAAACAAGACGTTTTCCCTGCCTTTCCTTTAGTCTAACAGTTTTCCAGAGTTATCTAACCAATAGGAATGACAAAAGATGAACTAAGCTTTTTATTTAAAAAAACACACCAAAAAACCGCTTTTACTGTTTCGTACAAGATTGTGAAGAAAGCATCGGAAAATAAGTTATGTTACCTTCCGCAGCAAAATATAAATTAGCGTCGCGCACATGCACTCAAGTCACAATTCTCTGATATTATATTTTGAAGCAAAGCACGTGCTAGTATACTTTTATTGTAAACAAGAAACGTCAGCATCTTCTATGTTCTCTGATGATATAACTTGCATTACAGCGATATACTGAAAACAACGGGCGTACACAGGTATATATAAATAAAAACAATAAATAAACGTTATTCTACATTTGTACCGAAGAAATGAAAACTCGTTGTTTTTGTACGTATCTATACAACAGTCATAGAACGAATGAGTACACCACGTGTATCTATAAATAGTCACAGAAGGAATGAGTAAACCACACGTACCTATACAACAGTGACAGAAGGAATGAGTAAACCACACGTATCTATACAACAGTGACAAAGGAATGAGTAAACCACACGTACCTATACAACAGTGACAGAAGGAATGAGTAAACCACACGTACCTATACAACAGTGACAGAAGGAATGAGTAAACCACACGTACCTATACAACAGTGAGAGAACGAATGAGTAAACCAAACTTATATATACAACAGTCAGAGAACGAATGAGTACATCACACGTACCTATACAACAGTCACAGTACTCCTTCAATTCAACCCGAACGTTAACGTCGTACTGAAAACAGAGAAACCTGTAGGTGCTCGTTGGTGCATACACGAATAAAGTCAGATCGAGTTTCATACAACTTTGACTCGTAAAACATATAGGGAACAATATGTGTTTCTAACAGTCTGAGTTAGGCTTTCTACATGTCTATCTGTTCCAAAAGATACAAGTCTCGTCTTTGGCATACAAATCAACGCACGAATCACATTTAACATTCTCATTTCAGAAAATATTTGAGATAGCCAGAGGTCAAACGATTTGACTTATTTAAAAGAAATATTGGTATATAAGGAATCTCAATAAGAAAAACTAAAAGTTCGTTTTCGGAAATTTCTTCAGTAACAAGTATAAAGATTGCTGCCTACATCAGTGTTTCTCAACCATCGGTCCGTCACAAACCCAAGTTTAAAGTTAAGCCCTCAGACTCACCACTAACAATATGATCTTCTACAAAAGCTATTACAAAATACGTTACAATACGATTGTTTTTCAAAATGTATTACAGTATTGTTGTTCTGAAAATATATTACTGTATGGTTATTCTGGTTTCAAACCAATCAATATTTTTACACTAACACTTAGGTAACTTTCAAACCAATCAACATTTTTACTCTAACATTTAGGTAACTTTCAAACCAATCAAACTTTTCACACTAATACTTAGGTAACTTTCAAACCAATCAACATTTTTACACTAACAATTAGGTAACTTTCAAACCAATCAAACTTTTTACACTAACACTTAGGTAACTTTCAAATCAATCAACATTTTTACACTAACATTTAGGTAACTTTCAAACCAATCAATATTTTTACACTAACATTTAGGTAACTTTCAAACCAATCAAAATTTTTAACTAACACTTAGGTAACTTTCAAACCAATCAAAATTTTTAACTAACGCTTAGGTAACTTTCAAACCAATCAACATTTTTACTCTAACATTTAGGTAACTTTCAAACCAATCAATATTTTATAGTAACATTTAGGTAACTTTCAAACCAATCAAAATTTTTAACTAACACTTAGGTAACTTTCAAACCAATCAACATTTTTACACTAACATTTAGGTACCTTTCAAACCAGTCAACGTTTTTACATTGGTATTCATGGACACTAAAAATTACTTACACGCACATAAAAATTTTAGAAACCAATTAACATAATTACACAAACACAAAATCGCTTTTTGTGTGCCCAAGTTTAACAAAATATACATTTGCTGATAGTTCAATGCTTCAATGTATATACATTAAAACAGAAAGAACAGAGAAATTGTTGGTAACTAATCTTTCAGTTGATAAAGGTCTAGATCATTTGTACATAAAACCCTAGAGTTTTTGCTCTCCTTAATCCCCCTTAGAATATATTTTAAACAATAATAATGGCTTCCTTGTTTAGTATTTGTGTACTAAGATATTTTTTCATCAATCTGGCATTGACTTTATACGACTTGTTTTGTTAGACTTTCGAATATTAATTAAAAAAAACTATTACAACACAAAATTAAAACAATGTAAATTTCGTGTGAAATCCAAACGATGCAAACGGCCATATAACTCACATAAAATAATTAGCCAACAGTCGTCAGGTGAAAAAACAACAACACAGACATACCACAAAAAGTAGCTATTATATATGTTACATGAACCAAACTGACTGACCAGTTAACTCCCCATTTATTCAAAAATATTTGATAAGCCTAAAATATGTCGTGATAATTGTATGAATAATTAATAACAGCCTTGTATGCCATTCTGGTAGGAATTATTTTGACAGAGATTTCGTGGATTTACTTATTCGTTTGAACACGTCACTTCCGGGAAGAAAAGTTAAAAACGTTTAATCGCACAGCGAATCCTGCCTCTAAGAGGAAATGTACTGACCAATCAGAGAATCTGGCTGGCGTTCGAATAATAGAAAATGTATGGTAAGATTAAGAAAGAGTAAGAATAAAGGAAAGAAAAAAAACGTTTTTAAATAAATTGACCGTGTCCTCGATAAGTCATGTAGGTAATGATAACACTGCCAAAAATGTACATAATTGTTTTGAAATTTTCATAAGATAATCCAACCTATAATGAAAGGAGAAATCTATTTCAATACGATGTTTTTCAAAATTTGTTACACTACGGTAGTTCTGAAAAAAATCTATTACACTACGGTAGTTCTGCAAAGTTTATTTCAGTATGATGTCCTGAAAAACATCTGTATTGTATGTCCATATTACTACTTCGCAGGGTATGGATGTATCTTCTCCAAAATTGGTATGGAGGTTCATTAGGTCTATGCGGGGGTACATACAAATTTTGACTTTTTCATTTTGCGGTTTTTATGGGCGTCTTTACCACTACCTCACCTCCTGTGGATGAATCTTCACTAAATTTGGTTTGGAGGTTCATTGGGGTCCATGGGGAGATACATAAACATTTTCAGTGTTGTGCTTTGCTGTTTTTATGGGCGTTTTTTTATACCATTACTTCGCCCCCTGTTGATGGATCGTCACCAAATTTAGCATGAAGATTTGTTGGGTCTATGGGGAGATACATGCCAACTTGCGGTTTCACATTTCATGTTTTGCAGTTTTTATTGGCGTTTTTGCGTTTTTACAATTAAATAAAAGGGAAGCAACTATATATGTCCTAATATGATCTATCATTAACCATGAATTTACATAACTTCCATCCAAGGGACGAACACTCCAGCTAGTATTTCAATACAATGTTATGAAAAAAACTATTGCAGTGTGATTGTTCTGCGAGAACAACCGTAGTGTAATAGATTTCCCGTAGTGTAATAGATTTGGGCAGATCAACCGTAGTGTAATAGATTTGACAGAACAAAGAACAACCGTAGTGTAATAGATTTCAGATCAACCGTAGTGTAATAGATTTGGCAGATCAACCGTAGTGTAATAGATTTGGCAGATCAACCGTAGTGTAATACATTTGGCAGATCAACCGTAGTGTAATACATTTGGCAGAACAACCGTAGTGTAATATATTTGGCCCGTAGTGTAATAGATTTGGTTATTCTGCTAAATATGTTAGATACGATTGTTTTGCAAAATATGTTACATTGTCCTTTTTCTGAAAATCTATTATATTATCATTGTTTCTCAAGGTTTATTGGTTGTAATAGAAGAAGAAAAATTCGCTTTGGTTTGGATGTAAACCTCGGAACAGGGGGTTATAACATAATACAGCACAATACGCAATTCAAAACGGATATAACAAAGAACTTCGTTCACTATGTTAGTAACAAATAAATGTATTACCTCGTGGTTATACCACACGAAACTTTTCCGGATTTATTAGTACAAATCTTCTTTCACGAGAGTTCACGTGACGGTAGTGAACTAGGAACCCGCTAGAAGGATTGTGGAAGACACCGATACGAGCAGTTGGAGTGGTTCAAGCGAGACGTTATTTTGAACAGATTTCCTGTCAGTTCCGACTTTCTGTCAGTTTAAGCATCATAAGATATATTAGACGAGTCCTTAACTTCAGTGCTAAATAAACGAAGCTCAACGCTTCTGGGTCTTTTCGTGAAATCGAAAAGACCAAATTACATGAACTTCTTGGAATTTAGATATTTCAAGGGACTAGAAGAGATTGGAAAACGAAACAAATGCAGACTTGGAATATAAAACGGTAATACTGCTGTTAATAGTTGTACTTCAAATGTTATTTATATTTTAAAAGCACGTCTCATCGTGTCCTATTGTCATGTTTAATGGTAGGACTAAAATTTATGATTACATTTCTTACCTCAAGGCTCCCTCTTGCGCAGAATAATGTCAAGACACACACGTTGGGAGGGTCTACGCATGCGCCGATCACTGGGTTAATGTTTTCGTGCCGCATTTCACGAATCTAAAATTAACAAAAAACAAATTCACGAAAAGCCTCAACGAACCCAAAACTGCTTTTTGAGAGATAACATAAAATGTCTGAAAGAACAAGAGTATAATGAAAAAGGCTTTAAAATTTAACAAACCAGAAACTGTTCTTTTAAAGACAATCTTATCATAACATTAAGTTATTATTCTCTGGAAATATTTAAAAATCATACATTTCATGGTAAAACAAAATCATTATTTCTTTGAGATGGCGCCCCATACAGTTTTTAATTCACTATTATTATGTCATTATTCAAACTAACGTTCACCTACACCTTAGATAATTGATGTGTGTGTGTGTGTGTTTTCTTATAGTAAAGCCACATCGGGGTATCTGCTGTGCCCCGCCGAGGGGAATCGAACCCCTGATTTTAGCGTTGTAAATCCGAAGACTTACCGCTGTTTCACCGGGGGACCCCCAGATACTTGAAGCAAATGGCTACAAGACACGTGTTTCCTTTGAACGAAATCTTAGGTGAATAACACACTGTCATACCGAATGTCCAAACACATCCAGATAAAACGCAGAAGCCGACATTTCCACAAGAAAAGGCCCATTGGCACTAAGCTTCAAGCCCACGACAACCAGTCCATTGGACCTCACCCACTTCTCAACGAGCTGTGGATCAAGGTTTAAAGAAAGTTATTAAACGACACTTTATGTCGATCTGTTAAACAGAGCGATTAACTTACGTTAATAATCTCTTTACAGAGGCTCCTGGTGACGTCAATGCTTCTTTTATTTACATACTTGATGAAAACAACATTTCCCTTGTAGAAGCCAACTCTAGAGTCCATCAACTGGGAAAGGGAACTCTTTTTTCCAAAGTCCGTTAGATTTCTTAGTCGGCTGAAGTCGTGCATCTGCACCTGTACAAAACATGAACACCTTTTGACTTTTTACAATAGTACAACCTAAGCGTTACCTAAACTTGTGTGTGTGTGTGTATCTTACAAGCGGCAGGGGTTTTTGTTGTTGTTTTTTAACATGTTAGCCACCCATTTCGAGAAATCCGATGTAATAGAGCGATTAGTGAATAAAACAACATCAGAAAACAAACAAATTCACACGAATCTCACAGTTAAATTAAAATTCGGAATTTTCAGTATTAACTATTCAGGAAAACAAATCAGGGTTTTAATCTTATAACATTGTTGTAACTTGGCTTTGCTGTATTGTTAAAATATCGCGGTTATTCTCAAATTTTGTATAATATTTCGAAACGTTTGAGTAGACAATAGTGGTAATCATAGCCGACAGAATTATGATTTGAGACAGGGTTATTCCTGAACTCGAAAAGTCCCCAAATAGAAGTGTTTAATAAGGTAAATTTATTCTAAAAGTTATTTCTGGTTTATAACTATAAGCTCATGACGCTATTAATATCCCGAAGGTTCATCCATTAACATATGATATCAAGTGACGACTAGCGAGGGAAGAACAAACTCAATTGATATCTACGACAGTGCTTAAAGCTAATATCTAGTGTTTGTGTGTGTTCCGTAGGTAAGTATCCTCCATTCTTTTTTTTAATACTACTTTCATTAACAGCATTGCTTAGAATGTTTAATATAGCCATTTTTATTATGTTTAACTCTAATATGATATGTATATTATAGAGTTCAACTTGCATTCTTAGCTCAGTACGTAGATTTAGAATTAATCCAAGTCTCTTAAGCTAGCCGAACTTCGTGAGATATCATTGGATTTATGGTCGAAAATGTCTTTAACAGTGAGGGCACCCAACCGATGAAAAATGCATTCTAATCATCATAAAAAGAATGTTAGAACAGTGTATATTAGTTATATAAACTCACCACCAGGTTCAGTTTTAGCTTTGACCTAAGTAGATAGAGTGAGTTAATACTAATCACAGAGAAACTTATATACGAATAAGGTAAGGTTTCCTTGGTTCGAGTCTACAACAAATAAAACGTTTCCTAAACAAACGAATATGTTTATTACTCACTTGGAAACGTAACACGTGTTTATCCTAGTCTAGAGGAGAAGCCACGTGTTACCTTTATAACACACACACACACACATGGATATGAACTTTATACAAGCAAGAGGCTGAAAACTAGTAACGTCGTACAGACAAATACAAATCCTATGGTGCAAACTATGCAACTGAAATGGTAAACTGTAATCTAGTGGTAGATGTATCTGAAGGATAGGACCCACACAATGAAGGGGATACACTGTCTATAACATTTCCCCTATATCTTCAGTTCTCACATGTAAAATAAAATTAAGGTATGCTAGCTCATAATATCAGAACACCATATTCCGATTGTTAGTTGTTCTTAATCAAACAAAATCAAAATAATAATAATTATTAATTATAACATCTAATAATAGACCAGTTGTGTTACAGATAGACAATTGGTGGTGGGGTGTAAACTTTTACCAACTGAAAGATAACCTATTTTGCTTCTAAACTAGTTAGAACCGGACTGTTTGATCATCTCTAGGTCGGTAGAATATGGATTAATGATAATAATCTGGTTGTTAAAAGTATAATCAGTTAGTCCGTTCATTAAAGTACAGTAATATCAGTTTATAATAATCTGATTGTTTAAAATACAATCAGTTAGAACGTTAACTAAAATACAGTAATATGAATTTATAACAATTTGGTTGTGTAAAGTAATATAAGTTGAATTATCAATTAGTCCGTTAACTAAAATAGAGTAATATGAGTTTATATATTTTTCATAAACAATCTTTCATAAAATACTATTGAATCTACGTTAATTTTTTCGCTGTAATACATATTACCTCAATAAATCTGGCGTGCATGGTGGTTTTCATATACTTATTTTACTCTTAAATGCTGGAGCTATATGATTTACGCTCTTTTTGTTACACAGTATAGGAACTGCAATTATCAACCTAACCGACACCTTACACAAACACCATAGGTTAAACAGGCAGCTTAGGGTTCATGTGTAGCTACCCCTAATTTTAAATTACCGACCGGATGGAAGACAGTTAGCCAGCAGCAACTTTCGCCACACAAAATTACCTGTCACTTGTTTGTTTGTTTTTGAATTTCGCGCAAAGCTACACGAGGGCTATCTGCGCTAGCCGTCCGTAATTTAGCAGTGTAAGACTAGAGGGAAGGCAGCTAGTCATCACCACCCACCGCTAACTCTTGGGCTACTCTTTTACCAATGAATAGTGGGATTGACCGTCACATTATAACGCCCCCACGGCTAAAATGGCGAGCATGTTTGGTGTGACGGGGATTCGAACCCGCGACCCTCATATTGCGAGTCGAGTGCCTTAACTACCTGGCCATGCCGGGCCCCTGTCACTTGTATAACGTGCCGACAGCTTAAAGTATAGAAAACATTCAGTGGTCTCGAATCCCGGACTCTTCGATGCATAACTAGATTCACTAACTAGTCACTAAGCCAACCTGGCTCTAGATATTATCATAAATATTAGTACTATTGTTGTTGTTTGTTCTAGAACAAAGCCCATTGGGCTATTAACTGTGTCAACCGCGGGGAACCGAACCCCGGATTTTATCGTTGTAAGTCCGTAAACTTACCGCTGTCCCTCAAAAAAAAAAGCAGAAACATCCAATTAAGATGTGGAAAAGTAAAACTATCTAAGTTACTGTACATGGCATACACGCCATTTTATACTTCTAATTACTACCAAGAATGTTAATATTAATCTTGTATTTGTTTAACATAAGTGAATTTTTGTTAATATTGTGTAAACAGTTTCAAAGGGGGCGCTGTCTTGATTGGCTTTTTCACAAATAAGGCATCGAGTAAAGAGTAAAATAGCGGAAATCCATTAAAATCATTAATTTTTTTTTGTAGAAGTTTGTTAGATTGGCGTTGAGGTATGCCCTTCCTCCTGGTATTCAAAATGTATATCTTATTTATCAGTTAAACGAATAGTTTGATAAGAATAGTGAACCTGTTGTGTTTGACGTGTGCTTCAGAAATGTTTGTGCCTAGACAAATTTAATTCCAAAGAAAAAACGTAAGCAAAGTTTATTTAGCCAGTTACGGCATACTCCATTTTCTTTTATATTTAGTTTCATTACATATTATTTCCTAGAACATTTATAATAATTTTGAATAATGTTTGTTCCGCGACGATTGTTAAAGTAGATAACTTCTGTACGATATAAAAACCTTCATAGAAACCAAGCAAAAATCAAGATTTCCATGGAAACCAATTAATGTGAATAATCTCATAGAAACCAAATAAAACTCAAGGCTATCACAGAAAATAAGTAACAATCAAGACTCGTGTAGAAACCAAGTAAAAATATAGATTTCCATAAAACCACGTAAAACTCCCATAGAAAATAAGTAAAAATCAAGATTCTCATAAAAAAAAAACGTAAAAATTACAACTCTCGTAGAAACCAAGTAAAAATCAAGGTTCTCCTGCAAGCCAAGTAAATATCAAGATGCTATAGAAACCAAGTTCAAGCTAAGAAAGACAAAAGGTAAACATCAAAAAGCTCATAGGAACCAAATAATAATGAAGACTATCACAGAAAACAAGTATCAACCAAGACTCCCACAGAAACCAAGTAAAAACCAATATTCGCATAGAAAAGAAGCAAAAGCAAAGAATATCACAGAAACCAAGTGACAATGAGGATTCCCATGAATACCAGGTAAATGTCAAGGCTTCTATAAAACTGAAAACCAAGACTCCCATAGAAACCAAGTGAAAACCAGCACTCCCATAGAAACCAAACAAAAATTAAGATTTGTTGTGAAATCCAAATAGATACAGGTTTCAAAGAAAGTTGTCAAGGTAAAATAAGCTATGAAGCAGGAATAGATAACAGTGAGCTTTATAAAAAGTTGGCTATATAAATGGGAATAAGTTAGAACGACGAACAGATGGCAAAAACTCTTGTAAATCGATTATAAATAATTGAAATCAGTTACAAAGATGAAGATGGGACAGAAGTCGGTTATAAGCAATCTGAGTAAATTAAAAGATGACAGAAAACTCTAGACAGGTATATGCAATATACATAAGTTAGAAAAAGGAATTGATGAGCGAATTCTAGAAAGTGTTATAAACAAAAGGAATGTATATCTCTAAAAAGTCAGTTATAATTCATTAGAACAAGTTACCAGATGACAGAAAACTCGAAAAAGTCAGTTATATACTGTTAGAATAAGTTAACAGAAAAGAAAACTGGTTACAATCTATTAGAATAAGCTACGAAACACTAACAGAAGACAGAAGATTTTTGAAAAACGGTTATAAATAGCTACAGTAAGATTAACAAAGTTTAAATAAAAAAATTAAACGCATATAGTCAACCACAAAAGAGTGTTAGAAAGGTTAAATTATCGATTTATTTTTTCAGTATCTATGAATGTTATTTAATTCAATTTCTTCGTGATAACTATAAAAAATATTTAAACTATTATATTTTGGTTATGAAGTTGAAATATTTCTCTTTGGTTATTAGTAATGCATTCTTGAAAAGACCAGCGGCAAAAAATGGCTAAAAATGGAAATACAAGTACACAGCTATTGAAAAAAATTCACTGTAAACATTAACTACAGTTTTCTTACTCCACACAGCGTACTTACGTTAATCTGATTGTGGGTATTTTGAAGAGTAAACTCTGAAGTTGTTCTTAAGAAGATGAGGTCTTTTATGTCTACTTTCCACAACATGCGTGCCATCGTCTGTTCGTATCTATAATGACTAAAAAATAATTTTCAATGAAGTAACCATGAAGGCTATTAAACATAAGAACCTCGTAAAAATCATGACTCCCATAAAAACCAAGTAAATATGAATAAGTTACCAGATGACAGAAAACTCGAGAAAGTCAGTTATATACTGTTAGAATAAGTTAACAGAAAAGAAAACTGGTTACAATCTATTAGAATAGATTGTAATAATCTCATAGAATAATCTATGAAATAATCTATGAATAATCATTGAATAATCTCATAGAAACAAAATAAAAATCATGACTCCCATAAAAACCAAGTAAAGGTAAATAGTGTCATAGAAACCAAGTAAAAAATTGTGACTCCCGAAAACATAAGTAATACCAAGAGTATCTATAATAACTAAAAATACTTTTCAATGAGCTAACTGATAAAAAAAGTCTTTAATAAAATCACATTTGAAACTGTCCTGGTTGTTGACGTTGGTTGTTTGCCTAAATTCGCGCTCAGAACCATTTACGTATTATGATGATATCTTACACTGCATATGACTACTGATCTAAAATACTGTTTGTTTACTTAACACAACCTTTCCCTGAACGTAAAAGTAAACAGCCCGATGAATTTCAGCCCACTTTTTTCTCATAATAAGATAAGGCGTTCTCACTTTTAATTTATCTCACCCTTAACAAGAAAAGTATCCAAACCAGTAATGATATGAAAGAACCACCAAAACTATCCACACTATTAATAATCACAAAAACTATCCATTCCATACTATTAATGATCTCAAACAATTATCTACACTATTAATGATCTCAAACAATTATCTACACTATTAATGATCTCAAACAATTATTTACACTATTAGTAATCACAAAAACTATCCATTCCATACTATTAGTAATCACAAAAACTATCCATTCCATACTATTAATGATCTCAAACAATTATCTACACTATTAATGATCTCAAACAATTATCTACACTATTAATAATCACAAAATCTATCAATTCCATACTATTAATGATCTCAAACAATTATTTACACTGTTAGTGATCTCAAACAATTATTTACACTATTAATGATCTCAAACAATTATCTACACTATTAATGATCTCAAACAATTATTTACACTATTAATGATCTCAAACAATTATCTACACTATTAATGATCTCAAACAATTATTTACACTATTAATGATCTCAAACAATTATCTACACTATTAATGATCTCAAACAATTATCTACACTATTATGATCTCAAACGACTATTTATACTATCAATTATCTCAAACGACTAACGATACTATTCATGATCTGAAACGATCATCTATACTATTAATTATCTCAAACGACTAACGAAACTATTAATGATCTGAAACGATCATCTATACTATTAATGATCTGAAACAATCATCTACACTATTAATGATCTCAAACGACTAACGAAACTATTAATGATCTGAAACGATCATCTATACTATTAATGATCTGAAACGATCATCTATACTATTAATGATCTCAAACGACTATCATACTATTAATGATCTCAAACAATTATCTACACTATTAATGATCTCAAACGACTAACGAAACTATTAATGATCTGAAACGACTTTATAACACATTTTACTTGCCATACGTTATAAGTGGACATGTTAATATGTACATATTCCATTCAACTATTTTCTTCATTGTCCCATTGTTCTTGGTCATTTATAAATATTCAGAAGTATATTAAGTCCAGTGAGTGAAAATCTGAAAGTCTGAGAAAAAAAATAATTCACTGAAATATATACTTATATGTAAGTTCGACTATTTGTTTACTCAGAATCTTTGAAACTTACCGAATACTAAATATTCCAGCAATGACGACCAATGCTGCTGTTACCAAACCAATCAGGATCATCTTCCAGTCTGAAATATAAAATTATCTAATAACTTCTACCCGAAGAGTTCCTAAAAATCTTTGATAAAAGTTACAATCAACGATAATCATTATTGATTATGAGTGATAGGTAAATCACAAAAAACCTCTATGACCACTCTGCCTTAGGTCATTGGTTGAGTATCTTCGGTTTTGGCCGTGTTTTCGGTCTTTATCCTGAAAACACCTGAAAAGATTGGGCTTGCTTAGCGAATTACTAAGCACCGAAGCAGAATTGTCACATTTAAAGTTTCCTGTACTATGCCTGTTATATTTGGCTAATATAGTTATTAGCAGTACGATCCTATTTCATTCTAAAGTAGTCATCTGATTCAGTTTCCGGTTTGAAACACAAATCATCAGGATCATCTTTCACCTCAAAATAGAAAATCAATCATTTGTTTCATTTTCCAAAATTACAACCAGTATATATGATCACACTGCAGCCTGAAACAAATAGACAGTCATCAGGATTATCTTTGAAACTAATATATGATCATATTGCAGCCTGAAACAGACAGTCATCAGGATTATCTTTGAAACTAATATGTTATCATACTGCAGCCTGAAACAGACAGTCATCAGGATTATCTTTGAAACTAATATATGATCATATTGCAGCCTGAAACAGACAGTCATCAGGATTATCTTTGAAACTAATATATGATCATACTGCAGCCTGAAACGGACAGTCATCAGGATTATCTTTGAAACCAATAAAAAACAAGCAAAACAATCATATATCCAATTCTGTAACAAAACTTTCTGGGACATTGAGCTAATGTTAGGTCCGAAAGAGATAGGCTTTGAACTAATGTTTGGTCTGAAACAGATAGGCATTGAAACAGTTTTAAGTCTGAAACAAATAGACATTCAGTTAATTTTTGGTCTGAAACTGATAGGCATTAAACTAATTTTAAGTCTGAAACAGATAGGCATCAAGCTAGTATTTAGTCGGAAACAGATGGGTATTGAGCTAATGTTAAGTCTGAAACAGATAAGATTCTGTAAAATGCAATATGTTTGATATTATATATATATATTACAAAGCTACCTACAAAACAAATACTTCATGATACGAATTTTCGCTTTGGACTAAAAATTGTCAATTGTCTCAAAATATTTTCCGTTTCCGAAATTTTACTTCCCGTATTAAGTTTCGTTTCTTTTATCATTAACAACGCGATCTTGAGATTTTCAGAAATATTCAAATTTCACCGAGAATCTTCAAACATTATTTTGGTTTTCTCCATAAATGACTAGTAAAAATGTGATATACATGCATGCGATACAAAAAAATCGTTAGATCAACACAAGTAAACATTTTAAATTACATTATCTGAAATTCACGGTGCAATAAACTCAGTAATATTATTATTAGTAAATTGATGTAATCACCAGTTTAAAGATTAAAACATACTTGTTTTTTTAGCAATAACCTGGCGAGATTACGATAAATGTTACAAAATTCAACATGTGCTCATAAAAATCTCCACATTTTATTTTCACTCAAAACATTACATTAAACATTTTTTTATCCTGAAATCTTTCTATTTAATCAATTTATAATGTAAAAGAAAAAAAAATGTCCAGAGAGATATAATGCAGTCAACAATAGATAAAAAATGTCATGCACACTTTTCAGAAACCAGTAAAAAGTCAATTAAGATATGTTGCTTTGAAATAAACCAATAGTGTTATCGTTAAGAGTGATTTTTTTGTGCAATAAACCAATAATAAGTCAGTTAAGAATGACGTGTTTTGAAATATGTCTAGTCTCATCGTAATTTTCTATCACATGTGTTCTTTAAAAAATATCGTGTATTGCTAACTTTGGCGTCACACACCATAAAATACGACATTTGTATAAATAATGCATAATATTATTTTTAGTATTTTCGTCATCTGATACCCTTAGACAACGCTTTGAAATAATCTTCAGGTACGTAGTACAATAGGATAACATTCTGGCAGATAGTATCTATATAAATATAATAGTATTGTCTGTTGTCTGTAGTAGGTCCATGCAACTACTTTGCAGGATGTGAATGGATCTTCACCAAAATTGGTATGGAGGTTCATTGGGTCCATGGGGAGATACATACAAATTTTCAGTTTTGCATTTTGCGTTTTACAGTTTTTATGGGAATTTTTGCAGTTTTTTACCACTACTTCAACCCCTGTTGACGGATCTTCGCTAAATGTGGCATGAAGGTTTGTTGGGTCCATGCAGAGAAACTTGTAAATTTGCGGTTTTACGTTTTGTGTTTTGCAGTTTTTATGGGCGTTTTTGCGTTATTTACAATTACATATAAGATAAGCAAATTTATGTCCTAAGATAACCTTTCATTAATCATGAACTTACATAACTTCCGTCCAGGGGACGGGTACTCCAGCTGGTCACGAAATAATTTTCTAGAAGCAAAATCTTGAAATAATCTTTTGCAAGGAAATATAATTAGATAGTCTTCTACTAGAAAAACGTTTGAAATAATAGTCTTCTTCTAAGAATTGTAACAGAATAATTTTATGATGGAAAGTATTGTGTAATGATATTTCACTAAAAAGAAACCTTGACATTCTCTTATATCAGAAAACCTCGAAAAATAAATGTCGTGAACTAAGCTTCTGCTTGAAAGTACCATGTAATAATCACAGGAAAACAGTTCCTCACCCTGCTCACACAACTCTCCATTAAATCCGCACATGGGTTCTCCGGCAGGTGGCGCTCCAGCTATCCAATCAATCTGTTTCTCTAAAAGTAGCCGCTTGAATATATGAAAGAAAAAAAACTGAACTTATATAAACGAATTTGACATCAGTATTCAGAATTCGTCGAATTTCAATCTGAACAAGGAAATTAAAAGAGAAGAATTGTTTTACCAAAACAGTACTCAAACCGTGATAAAGTTTCAATGACGTTTGTTATTTTAAAAACGACAAAAGAAGGAAATGTTTGTTTTTTTAATTTCACGTACAGCTACACGAGGGCTATCTGCGCTAGCCATCCCTAATTTAGCAGTGTAAGACTAGAGGGAAGGCAGCTAGTCATCACCGCCCACCGCCAACTCTTGGGCTACTCTTTTACCAACGGATTGACCGTCACATTATAACGGCTGAAAGGGCGAGCATGTTTGGTGAGACGGGGATTCGAACCCGCGACCCTCAGATTGCGAGTCGAGCGCCTTAACCACCTAGCCATGCCAAGCCGAGAAGGAACTAAACACCAGATAAGATATTATTAAATTTATTCTTCATGTCTTGTCTGTACGAATATTTCACTTAAACACCTCAAATACCACAGAAGAGAATAAAGTGTCTTAATGTGAAAAATGGACCAGGAAGTGGCGTTGAAAGAAAACATTGAAGATCAGCTTTGAGTCTACTCTTTGTGACGTCATTATTAATTATATATATATTGATAGCAATGGAATGTTGATCGTTTGATACGCCCTCCAGTGGCACAGTGGTGTGTTGCGGACTTATACTGCTAGAAACCAGGTTTCGATACCTGTGGTGGGCAGAGCACAAATAGCCCTTTGTGTAGCTTTGTGCTTAATAACAAACAACAACAATATAGCAGTTCATTTAGTTTGCCCCCCAGTGGCACAGCGGTATGTTTGCGGACTTACAACGCTAGA